CTCTTAAGGTACTACTTAAGTACTCTTCAGGTGCAACTAAAATATTCTTCAGGTACCACTTAAACATTCTTCAGGTACCGCTTAAATATTCTTCAGGTACCACTTAGGTACACTTCAGGTATCGCTTTAGTACTCTTCAGATATCATTTTCCGGAATACTAGAGACTCTCCGTCCTCGCTCGACATCTCTCGGTCTCTCGTTAGGTTAGAGAATTGTCGCAAGGTCTCGTATATGGCGATTAATGACACGATGATGCCTAAGAAATTGAAACATCGACGTGTATAAAAATCGAGGGAGTCTGTTCTCTCTCTCACACACGCACACACGGTTCTCTTCGGTGTCCCGGCGCGTTTCCACAGCTTTTATTTACGAGCGCGTTACATGCAATGTTAATTCGACAGATTTGACCGTAAATAACGACCATAAATACCTGGCCGGCAGAGTATATATTTATCTCCGGCTATAAAATTCAGTCTCGCCGGATGCACGGTGCTTCGGGAAGATAGCTGGAATTTGCCAGCACGTCTAGCCTAGAGGAAGATTAACGCGGTGAATTTCGTCATGTTGTTTCTCGGCGGCGACGCGTGTACAACGCGAAAAACGATTCGAGTGCGTGAGCGGAGGAACGTGCAGGCACGCCGGAAATCCTTGTCGATTTTCGATTATTTGACTTTCGAATTGATAACCGACGCTCGATTTTTCGTTCGACCTTTGAGGATTCTCAATGGAAGTTTATTAATACGTAACAACATGAAATTGTTACGTAAGAGATTATCAATTTATGTGTTGTCTTCGGAGAAAAGTGAGTTTCTTTCGTGTAAATATTCACATAAATCCCCAAATATCTCAATTCAGACATAAATTCCTTAAATATCATTATTCGGACATAAATTCCTTGAGTATCTCAATTCCGACAGAAAATCTCACATATTTCATTCCGTCATCTGACCGCAAAAGTGACAGAATTTCTCATTAAACCTAACACATCTTGTCATCCAGTCTTCGGGGAGCTTTCTGATCACCGTGAAGCCCCACGGATCTAATCGTCCACCGTGCCGACAAAAATGAACCCCCACGAACATCCACATTCCACCCGGCCACGTTACGGTTCCCGATGGAGATTCGCATATTTCTTCCCGACAGTCGGCTGTCTCATTTCCCGTATCAATCACGGGAACGAGCCACCATGTGGCCCATGAAGAATCGTCGTTCTTGCCTTTTCTCCATCACCGTCAAAAAATTCGTACCCCCTCCGTTTCGTCTGGCGACAGACGTCCACGTCGGATGGGTTTCCGTGGACCAGTCGCGCCAATTATGGTCGCCGTTGATGCCACCCGGCGTTTAGCAGATCGGGAAAGTTCACGGCCGCGTTCACCTTCGTCGATCCCGCGAGACTAATGCGCTCAGACCCTTCCTATATAGCGATCCCCGATGATCACGATCCCGTCGATCCTGTTCCTCGGTAATAATTACCGGTCCTGCTGTCAGTGCCAGGTCAATGGGAAACCATTGGAACGGCCAGGAGAATCGACAGCTTCCGCGGGTCGTTAAACCTGAAACGTTCTCGCTGCTGCTGTTGCCGGTCAATGCGCGCGCTGCCTCGCTCTTTTCGTCGTGATCGATGCATTAGCAATTAGAATTGTTCTCCCGTTACTTAGGCACCGGAATCTTTCGTTTGCACCTAGATAAGTACTGATAGGAGCTAGTTCTAAATGTAGATGTTAATGCTGCAGGGTTAATGTATTGGGGTTTATAGTCTCATTCAACTCATAAGTAGATGTCAAATTTCATGATTTTATTGCAAGTATGTCTACAGAAAACAGGACACTAAAAATTTACCGGAGATTAATAGTGTTTACAGTTTATTTTGAAGCTAGTAAAATTCGTAACAAAATGTTTGAATTTAAACGTCCTCAAGTTCTATAAAAATATGAGTTTGCAGAGATATTCGAAACATACTCATACGATTCGAATGTGTCCAAGTGTACACACAGATCCCTGCGGTATCTCCTTCGACATCTACTATGTAACGTATTTCTAAAACTCGACCAAATAGGCCTATTGACCCTAATTAGTCTCTGATTCACAAATTAAGATTACGAGGACTCCGAGCAGCGAATGTTTCCACCAGAAATCGACGACTCTTTTCTCTAAACCGAAGGAGAAATTTCACGATGCCGACTGGTATTTTTCGGAACTAGCGATTTCACCATTAAAGGAAAAACGCGTGTATGTATGTCCCTAAAATAAAAGTGCCCAGGCCTAACAAGCTTGTTTCCGTTCCGCGGCTGTTCACGGCGGCTAATTATCGCGCACATCTTTTTGCACGCTCCGATTGCCGTGAGAACGCGTATACAAAAGTGTTTGGGGGATATTTACTTGGCGTTTCGGTATTTGGAAGTTCGATCTTGTACGTGGACAAGTGCAGATTTATTGCCATCGATATTCATCAAACTCTAATTAATAATGTATATTTTTTTGCACACATGTTTTTCACTTCAATACAAGCAATAGAATTTTTAAATCTCTGAAAAATAAGTACATCATTTGTCTATTCGTGTTTAGACAAATGTTTCTCTTTTTACGTATCCTTTTTGAACTTCTCAAGAATTCTGTAATTAATGATTCCATTCGAATTAATAATCTGTGATTCTTTTATATATTTTTTCATTTAATATAGGCATGCTATTTTTTAGTTCTTCAAAAATAGTTATAGATATAATTATTTTGTATAGGAATTGTTCCTGTTTAAAGAAAAATGTTTTTCTTTTTAAACACTGTTTTTTAACTTGTGTTAATATTCATCAGAGTGACAACATTAGGGATCGATCTATTGAAAGTCCTGTACAAAAACTATCAATTAATCATTCTGACCCCCGAACCGACTGGCCCGATCTATTGAGTCACCGTGGAACAGGAAGAAGGCGAAAGGCTCTTTCCACTTGTAACGACACTGGAAACAATCGAAACCCCTTCTCGGAAGTCTTTTAAGCATCGGCGATCGGTCGGAAGGTCAGAGGTGAGGCACCGAGCGTGCCTCGAAAATAGAACGTGCTCACGACGGGTATACCAGTTCAACCGTTTCTATTTCAATTATCGGCGACGCGGCGGTTCCCGGTCTGGCAATTTGCTGGCGTTAATCGTCGCCCGGATCGCCGCGGATTCGAATTTATAATTCGTAATGTCTCGCGGTTAGCAAAGTGAAACGTCCATCAGATCTAGATCGGAAACTTTCCAGCAGACTCGTTCCAGGAATGTTGATTAACGTGTTAATTAACCGCCGAAAAAGAATTCAATTCCACCGCGGCCGACAGAACATTTTCGTCACTCTGGGAAATATACAGTGGGTAATACAAGTATTTGCACACCCTTTAACCCTCGGCACTCTTAATTCTTATGAAATTTTCTCTCCAATAACTCCCTATTGTTTTAGGTGTTTTATTATAAATGTATTTCAGAAAATTTTTGGTCGATAGGAACCAATTTAAACAAATATTTTTCAGTAATTGTATTGTTAATAGCGTTAGAACTTTGGTAAAAATGTCGAGTATGACTTGACATTGGAGTACCAATGAATGAAAGTGACGTCGAGTCGTGGAGTTCAAAGGGTTAAAAACAATTTTATTTTATTATTGTTAAGAAATTTCGTTGTTTAAAATATGTTTGTTTTTAATCATTTTGACTACTAAATTTAGTACAAGTATTAAATTCTGCAGACAGATCGCGAATAATTTTTACAGTGTTCGTAAAGTTTGTCCTCCGACAAAATTCGTGTAGCAGAAAAAATCCGCCGGAAATTTTTGCTCCGATTCCCAATATTTAAAACGGAGATCACCGCTGCGGGACAGGTGGATGAAACTTTGACCCCGAAAGTGAAATCGATGTTCTTCCTCTTTTAGCGGTTCCGCCGGGGGAAAACTGGCTCGATGGTTGCACGCCACTTACGTAAGTCGTAAAGCCACCAGGGAAAAATTTTGTGTAATTATCGGCCATCTTTTTTTTTTCGGACTTTCTAAAGCGGCTAGGCGTTACGACGCCTCGGGAGCGGCGATGAGCACGATAATTGAGCAATTTGGCGTGGAACCCAGTCGAAACCAAGAAAGTTCACTCTTGTTCCCTCGATTGCGGTGAACTGCTTATTTTTTCGTTCATTAAAGTACTCTATGATGTTACGGTAACTTAGAACAATTTAGAACAATTTTAATTTTGAAATTAAAATTATGGTCGAAACTGAACAAAAAATAAATTTCTGCGTAATTCTCATTTTCATAAATTTGTCTGCAAGAAATGTGATGCTCTATAAATATTAACACCTTAATAATTAGTTTCAGGAATTTTAAGTAAATCCATCCCTAATTGATAATAAATAATCCATTTAAGGATTCATTAATCAGAAAAGGGAGTTAAGTGGAAATATATTTCCTGTATTCATAGCTTTATATTTCGCTGTAAATACATAAAAATTACACTCCGTTAATGAGGCGTCTACAATAATATGATTTACCATATAACACAATGCTTATTATTGTTCGATTTCATCACGAGATCGTGGAAAACCCCTTAAGGTCATCCCAGTTTAACTATTTAAGATCATTCATTACGAAAACTTCACTTTATTACGTACATATATTTAAAAGGTTAATTACTCTCAATATATTTAACCGGTGTAACTGCATTTTTCGTCAAAAATAAATCACGGATTTAACTGCGTAATTAAATAAATCGTAAACGCCCATAAGAAAATTTAACTTGATGAAATTCTCAGTATGAAAAAAACCGTTCTATATATTTCTCATTTGTGAAAGTTAATATTCGAAATATGCAATGGTGCAAATACGGCCGTATTTTACTAACCACCGTATTCGATTCAGTCACTGCAAAATAGTCGACAGTTGAAATAAAGTTCCATAGATCGAAGATGAAATTTGGTATAAAAAATCGACTTAATTGTTTTTCGTTTTGTTTTTAATATAATTTTGTTCCTCTGTTGTTGTTTCAGGAAAATGGTTGTCTTTACTCTCACATCCGGTGGGGTGAGGCGTTCGTGGTCGTTTACAGTGTGACGTGTAAACGAAGCTTTCAGGAAGCCCGGGGACTGTTGAAGCAGCTCGCTGATTTACGCCTGCCATCCTATTTCACCGCCCTGCTGCTTGGCAACAAGAGAGATCTGGATCATGCTCGGTGAGTGTTAAATCAAGTTCCCCGCAGGGAGATTAGCAACCGACCGAATTAAAGGTCAGATTCTCCGCAGAAGTCGTTGGGATTTACTTGTTACCCTCCGCTGATAGGATAATTCGAACATTCGTTCGAATTTCTGGCGTTCAAGGTTACTCGAAAGTCGTGTTTCGTGGACCATTATATTGATCATGTTGATGATGACCAATGTAACTTGAAAGATTGCAATTTTAAGTTATGAACCTCTTTTGAAAAAAATTAAAATCTTACAAATTTAAAATTATGAAAAATAGGTGTCATTCTATGACCATAGGTGCCAGACACCTAAAACACTACGGACTCTAGGCCCAATATACCCTAAGTCTCGAGCCTAGGTATACCCTGACTCCCCAATTTATTAAACATACAATAGCAAATCGCGAGTAAATCACGACCAAGCCACAGCAAGGTGAAAACGGGTCAATCAATCCTCGACCAGTGGTGCCAGGCACACCGGAAGACATCCGAACACGAATCCCAGTCCTCAGCCGAAGGTGTACCCTAAAAAGAAGAAGTCAGCGCTAAAATCGGTCGCGAGGCGGTGCCAGCGCGCAGGATGCTCTCGCCTCGCGGCCAAGTCGGCCAAACGGGCCGCGGTAAACAGATCCTCGTCCGGAGCGGGGCGATCGCGTGAACGGTTTCTAGGTGAGCGACCACTCCGACCACTACCGGGTGTCGTGCTCGAAACGGTCTCTGGTGTCCGGGGGCGCGAGGTGCGGTCGGTGTGGCGCCTCGTTTCGCGTTTCACGCGACATCGGGGACCAGACGGACGAACAGACGATCATCGCCGTCGCTGGCGGATGCGACGACGGGCGGCAGGTGACAGGAAAAAAAGCCTGGGACAAGCGGTCGAAGGGGAGGAGCGGAGGAGGATCGGTAGCTGCGAATCGCGTGGCGCACGCGAAATCTCGCCTCGTCTAGGAAACGTTTCGCGAAGATCCTGTTACCGGGCGACCGATCGCCACCGCGACCGGGAAAGTGAACCCGTTACCGATTTATAGGCCGAACACGCACGTGGAAGAAAGTAGAGGCAACGCCGTGGTGGATCGCGATCGATGGGATTCAGGGTGGAGGACGAATAGGGATGAGCATGTTGGAGGGAATTGGCCATTTTGGCTAAACTGTTTGATACCGTTGAATGGCTGGGTTGCCCAGTATGTTTGTGGGGTTTGTTATGTGTGTAGATATTTTATTTCTTTCATAACAAGTATACAGGGTGTTCCATTTAAATCGACCCTGTCAAATATCTCTGGAATTATTTGTGAGCCCGGAAAGTGTTTCAAATGGAAGTTGAATGGTATCGAGGGGGACATAATTTGATGTTAATAGTGTTATTTGTAGGTGGAGGCGTAGAGGACGTATGAAGGTTAACTTTATTTTTCTTAAATGGAACCATATATTTTTTTATGCATTGTTCGATGCAGCTCGTCATTCCCTGTAAAAAATTATTTACTCATAATACTTGTGAACATCATCTTTACGATGGTAAACATCGTATCACCGGTACGAATGCGTCAATTTTTTGCTGAAAATATTTGTTCTAAAACGAAATCTCTATAATGCCAATAATTCCGACTAGACCGCGAATATAATTCACAGTTTCAGCCACAAATACATAAAAATCAGTACTGCACAGAATTCTATTTTCTCTATCAATGGTTCCAATACCCTTGTAACAATACATAAATTGTATTAAACTTTGTTCAAATTCTTATTTTATGGGAATGCTGTTTCTCGTAACATCTTTATGTATGAAGGAGTGGATTGGGCAAATACTTTGTACGACGATGTAGGTATACGCGAGGTATAGCCAGAGGGGGCACCGTGAACTCAGCGATTCGGGACCACCGGTGATATTGTGATTCTTGTTTCGTGGTCGGCCGGAACAGGGACCTGCAATTAGATGACAATCAAACCGCGCTGGAGGGAGAAAAAGTGGGTCGAAGGTACGAGGGAAACGGGCCAGGCACGGGTTGGGTACAGTACCCAACGACGTGTAATATATTTGTTATTTTTTAACGGTTTCGTGATTGAAAGATTGACACGGTTCTAGACCGAATCAGGTTCCTGAAATAGTTTGAGTGAATTAGATTAGAGATTTGGTGTTGAGATTGTTTTGATTCACCGTGTTAGATTTAATTGCTACTGCTGTAGTCACGAATTGGGGATAATTATAAAGGGAGGTTAGGTTTAGATTTTATATCTAATAAATATTTTTGTCGACTGTTGCATAAATAAATAATAAATATCAATTTCTGCGATATCAGAACTCTTACATGATTAGAAATAGGGACATTGACCTAACTCGTTTCCTGTCGCGATCAGTTCAAAACCTTTTCGAAATTAGCCTCGATCGCGTAAAAACCCCAGATTTTTCGCCTTTCACCCGCCGTTTCTGCCGTACCCGTCTAATCTAACAGTCGTGTGATTTCGCGATCGCTCGCCCCGATAACCTCCCTTAATTTCACTCCATCTGTACAAGAGAACCACGGTTCCGAATCACGGTCCACGGACTCCGATTAAATGAACTTTTCCCGCAGAAACATTGGCCGACTGAGATTGGCGCGAACGGATTCGGCTGATCCGGGGTGCGTCAAGTGCGCGCCGGTTGCATTTTACGCAATCCCCCGCAGACACCTCGAGTGCATCACCGGCGTCGCGTTGCATGATTCGGACAGGAGAAAGCTAGGAAACCGTACGAACCAGTCGACGGTTCTTTTTTTTTCTTTTTACTTTTTCTTTTTTTTTTTTCTGTAGTTGCTTTTATTGTGTTCAACCGCGAACGTTCGCGATAAAGATTGTGGCCTGCGAGCGGCAGCTTATTAACCTTGTCAAATCGAGCGCACGATTGCACCGGCTGCGCTGCTCGGCCCGATAGTTAATGGGAGTGAACCGAGGGAGCGATAAGGAGCACGACACTTGGGCTCGCGGGGTTTTGCTTGATGTATGGGCTGCGGAGTAGACTGTAAATAGTAAGTAGACTGTAAGTAGTAACAGAAAGCTGCTGGGATTGATGGAAGTCATTAAGAAAGCGAGATTTTTGGGGTAACCGGTCCGGTGCCACGGAACAAGGTCGGGCATTGAGGCGAGCGTTTATCGAGGGAAAAACAAAGTCTAATATATTCACTTATGTTCTTACATCTTATAATATTATCTAAAACATCTGCCTAATGCTTCATAAAAAAAGTGAACGGATTATACCCAATAGAGTGTTGGAAATCTGTTATGATCTGTGACTAATAGTCTCCCAACAAAATTGCGGTTGTATCGAACGAACGAAACCACTAAATATCCTTGATTACAACTGACCACCCTTTCCAGTTCATTCGATAATATACCTGGAAAAGGATCACACGGATCTTTTCCACCATTAAAAAATCCTTACCTATCGCAGAACTTTCCTCCTAAGTCCAGTAAAACATTGATCCTTCCACTGGAGGGACTAAACCACTGATCCATATTCAGGAACCACCTATGATAACGAGACGACTAAAATACCAGGCGGCGCACTGGCAGATAAAATCAATTACGAAAAATGAAAAACAAGGACACACGCCACGACGACGAGGAAAATTCTAGGAATATGTATATCGAGGGGAAAAAAGTATAGCAAAACGGACAAATATGATTAAAGTATATAAAACGTCACGATGACGCGATATCGATGTACCTGTTTGATCATTCATTGGTTCTTACACCGGCATGCAAACCTCCGTAAATGAATGTTGGAACGCGAACGAGGAGGAAAAATCGGAAAACGTGTCTTCGCTAACGACGATCCGCATTCCTACTGGGATCGCCCAGGAAATTCTTGTTCCAGAGCTCCGGCCGGCTAAGGATATCGATGTCCGGTTCACCTACGTGTGTCACCGGCTCCCCTGGCCGCGGATAAGTGCGGCGATTCGTGTCACATTCAATTTCCATTCGGAGCTTTTGAATTTCATTATCGATTGGCTTTCCCCTTGGCACGAAAACCCGCGATTCGTGTGATCTTTCTATTCCTTTTCAAATACTTCTACACTTTCTTTCGCTTCTGTTCTCTTGCTGGTGCAAAATTCTTATTAATTCTCTTTTAATTCTTATTTAATCTTCGTGTGCTATTTGACAAAAAATTAAAATGTAAAGTTAAAATTAAAGTAATTTTACAACGAATTACAATTTAATTGTAATTGTCTCGAAAATTACATTACAGTTACATTGTAATTACAATTTAGATTTTATAATTAGACTATATTTCTGACAACTCTGCCCAGTAGCAATAAAAGTGATGAATAATGTAGAATTTGAATTAAGAGAATAAATTTGCCTATCACCCGAAGGAACCAAACTGAAGGATACTCAATCTTTGATTCATCAAGATCGAGAATCTCCTGATGATCTTCGCGGGAGAAAAGGGCAACGCGTGGTTATGAGCCAACGATGTTCACGGAATTTTCTCTAAGGTGAACCTTGGAGATCAGAAACGATCGTTTGCAGCTTTCCTTGCTTGGAACGCCGTCGTGAGAAACAGTTTCAGGAAGTTGGGAACTCCGGCAACCTTCCACCTTTTCAGAGGCTTCTCATCAATCACCGCGGATTATCTTTCGTCACTGTGCAGGCCTTTTGTCTGCGGCTAATCTAACCGGTAGATTAACGTCCGGTTCGCGAGAAACGCCGTTTCATATTCGTCGACCCCGTATTTTTATCGCATCAAATATCACTTAGGCTGGGCTGGATCCGTTCGAGATGCGAGAGGCTTTGGGCCGGGACAATTCAGCCTCCGATGCACTTATCCCAGCGCTGTTCTAAATTAAACTAAAACTAATCTAGGGAGGAACGTAGAGAAGCCCAATATGTCTGGTAGCTGAAGCTAGCTCTCTGAAGCGCGCGGCTTTTCAAGCGGAGCTGGTCGGTTTTCAGCCGCGGCCGAACCAGTTTGTCAGCCGTGTGGCTCCGAGGGATTCGCCAGCTGATATTTCGCGATAAGTTTATCGATGTACGATATTCGCGGACGGACGCCGCCGCCGTCTCGGATGTATCTAAAGCGGCGATAACTCGTTCCTACGGGAGAGTGGTTTCACCCAGGCCCCGCAGCGCAGCCAGCCAGCCCAGCCAGGCCACGGTCTAATCTTTATGAACTCCATTAAGACGACCGGAACGGCTACTGGGTAGGAAGGAGGCGATGTGGAAGAGAACCAACCGGGCGGGAGACTCCACATCGAGCTCTCGGTCGTCTCCGCGATGGCTGAGAAAAAATTCCAGTTCCCCGACCCACGTAAATTTAATTAGTTGGCCAGGGGGATTATTGGCAACAGAATGGCCCCAAGTATACTAGTTAGATATTATAGAATTTAATTTAGCGTACATTCAATCCTGGTAGTTCTAGTGTTAAAAATGTACCTACAGTAAATCATCGACGAGTGTTCGAAAGGGGCTTCTTGGCACTGATAAGGACAGGTCCCCAAGTGTAAGGCTGACTTTTTAATGAGGTTTAGCACATAGGTAAAGCTTCTAGGTAAACCATAAATGTTATGAAATTTAGTGATTACGTTTGTGTAAATTTGAAGCAATTAAGTCAATTATTCTACTAAAACTATTTCGAGAATATTTCCGAATTCTTAATCGGAATACGACAGCGATAAAAAAGAAAAGAATAATATAATAATACCTCAGCTGAAGTTCTAATTTATGCAATCGTTCGTTAGATTCAGGCTATCTAGTACTCCATCGCACGATCATTTATTTATCTGATTAAAACTTCTGCCACGATCTGATATTTTTTTTCTTTTTTTTTTACCTCGATCCTGTGATCACTTGGGCGTTTCTTTCTCGTTTCCCGGCGACCGTTTGTTGAAATTGCGGCGCGCGTTAAGCTGGCGCCAAGTAGAAAGCACGTGTCTCGCGCAAATGGACGAACAAGTCTCACGGCGAGATATGTAGGTGAACAATGTTTTGATATCAAAGACAGGAGTCCCTGATCGGATCGGATTTTTCCGAGGATTATTGAGAATTGTCGGTGAAGATTACTGTTTGAAACGTGACGTGTCGTAGGCGTAGGATAGATAGCTTATTATAAAACTACAGACGTTTATGCAAATTAGAATTTTTCGAGATTGTTTTATAGTCAGAGTTAAACAGAAGTCTCTGTTAAAGATCCGAATGTATTAACAGTATCACTTATTAATTATTTTCGTAATACTACATATTCTATTTTATTCCGGAGAAAAGATTTATTTTGCTACAATCTCTTTTCTCCTGAATTACAAAAAATAAAGGTTGTATACGACATGGCGATATTACCATTGGTAGAGTCTAATGAAGGAAACACTGTCCACGATCGTGAAACTAACCTGGCAACGCTAATTAATTCCACCATAACGTAAATTTGTATTCGTTCCTACGTAAGAACCTATCTCACGCTTCGGTAACAAGTGCGTGTCTAATATCACAGTATCGGACATTCGATTCGCCCATAAAAATGTGAAAACCCGGAAATCATTCAGTCCTGATACACGTCATTAGCCTTTAGTATCGTTATTACTGCAAAAGTTTCCTACATAATCTCGGGGGAAAGAAACTCCAGTAATCTTCACCACTTCATTTTCATATTAGACACTTTTTAGTTCTTTAAATAGAAAAGGGAAAGTGGAAAAGTTCAATATATTATACTTTACGCTTAATACACTTTGATTAAGCAAACGTTACCCGGGAACTGTCTCCCACGTATGTATATATCTATTATACGAACCACATATAATTGTTTTTCAGTTTGGTTTATTGTATTTTTCACGTTTGCCGTCACGCTCCTTTACATATTAGTGATTATTTTGATTATTTTTGTAACTTTCTTACAAACCTCTACGAAACAGTATTAATTTATTTAATTTATTTATTAGTGTCGCATCAACTGCCAAGGTTATTAGCGATGTATAATACATTGCATAAAAATATTACATTCACCTAGATTTTTAACATACACACATAACAAAATTATAAAAGATAATAAAAAAATGATCTTTCGTGACCGAATAAATTTCCTTCGAATAAAAAGATTATCTTTCACTTTCGAATAATGATGTTTTATTTGAATCGTTATTTAAATGACTGTTTGTCTAGATAGCGTGTAATCCGGTCGACGGTGATTCGCGTCGTCGCTTTAAAGGTCGCGTCGTTTCGCCGTTGTATCCTGATCCGGCGTCTCGAGGCACTGAAATGTCGAGCCTCTCCCCGCAGTCGGCCATCCTTCTTTCACGAGATATATTCAATTTTCTTCCACTCGCGACCGTTCCCTCCGCGACGAATACTCGCCGTTCGACCGCGGGAAACGGAGGGTCTCGAATCCTGACGGAGTTCCTCGTAAAGCAACGGATCGCCTCGTATAAAATAAAAGCGGACAGATTAACGGCCGTGGACGTGGTGGCTGCTCACGTGTGCATGCACACGGGGTCTCGTGCCCGAGCGATTAGAAGTGTGCACGGCCCTCCCACGCGCCGCCACCTCATCTCCTCCACCCCTCTCTTCTCATTTCTTCCCCTTTCGACGTGTTCGCGAGTATCATGTGTTCGAGCGAATTTAATTGCCACCATAAATATCGCTGGTCGCCACGCTGGAGCTCGTCGGGGCTGAAATATACTGGAGGACCCTCATCTGTTTACTAGTGGATCGATGATCGATCGAGGGAGTTCCACCGAAAGTCTATCCTCTATGGGCGATGAATTTGATTATCTGAAATATAATAGTGTACTATTTCCGTTCATCGGAGCACCTATCGATTATCGATCGAGAGGGCTCTAGCAAAATGCTCTTGGAACTCTTAATAACACGACATCCCGTTTGATTCCAGTTTCTGTAAATGCGTCCATAAAAATTGATATTTGCATTTTAATTAGAAAATTCTTTCGTTGCTTTGTACGTCGACGGTGGCTACGAGAAACGACGTATTATTCATTCCGAGAGTGTGTACGTGACGATCAGACCGGATTATCGAACGTACGCAATTATAAATACCCAGGCCGACGATTTTCCAGGCCTGGCGAAATTCCAGTGACTCGGCGCGCTGCGTTCTTCCCGCCTTTATGTCCGCGTTCACTCACCTTTCGCCGCTTCCGTTCAGCCGGAACGCTGTTTGCCAAGAAGTCGCGACCCGTCCACCTGTCCTTGATCCTCATCCGCGGACCTTGACAGCTTCCGTTGATCCCCCCGTGACGCCTTTTTCCGCGACCCGAAAATTTACGGTCTCCGCGTGTCGCGAATGAGACGTTTCACTCGCGATTGTTTATTTCCTTAATGCTGACTTGCCCTGGTCTCGGTTTAGCATTCTGTCGACACGCTGGAACTCTGGACTGGTTCTTTGTATCGCTGGAACTCTTGCTACAATGATTGTTTTATTCGTTAGGTTTAAAAACGGTAATTATTAGAATTGTAAAATTCACGAAAATAACCATGAAAATGAACATTCCTGTTGCAGAGAGGTGTGCGTGGACGAGGGTCAGCAGCTGTCACTGGCCCACGGCTGCCAGTTCTACGAGGTCAGCGCCGCGGAGAGTCCGGCGGGCGCAGCGCTCGCGTTCCAGGCGTTGCTCCGCGAGGCTCGATCGGTCCAATTGCTACGAGCCCTCCCTATACGCCGAAAATTGGGCGTGCACTCGGTCTCGAGGGTGCTGGGCACGATCTTCGGCAAGAACACCACCAAGGACCGGAAAAAGAGGCCCTCGTTGAGCATATGACGCCTCCTCTGCGCCCTCCTCCTCGGAGGTCGTGACGAACCGGACCTGAGAGCCGACGTGGTGGTTCTCAGCAGCAACGTCTACGTGAACCGCTGACGAGGGCATCCAGAAACTATCCACATCGGGCAGTGTATCCTCCCGAAGAACGTTTTTGGCGATCTTCTCGACAATTGGTTCTCAGGCGTCCTACAATGACGATCTGGACGAGGACGTTGAGAAGGTACTCGATCTCCTCCTCCCTGAAGGATCTTCAGGAGATGTTTCCTTTCGAACGAGTCGAAATCACTGGTTCAGAGGAAAAGGAGGGTGCAGGATGAGCGCGTTTCTGACGTGCACCAGGATCTGTGTTTCGCGCAGGATCATTGGATATGATGGAGCTGCCTTGGAGACCCCGTGACAAGGGGCATTCGACGTGTCGGGACGTATACTCTGGCATTTGCGTGAGATCCTGCCGTGGAGACGTTTCATTTGGTATCCGGCTAAGAAACATTCGTGAGAACAGTGGATTGATCGGGCCGTGTGAAAGACTGCTGCGACCGTGGAGAACGAACGACGAGTGCCTTGGTGTTCATAGTGGATGTCGAGTACACAGAGGGACGCTTCCGTTGTTCCTCGGCTCGTGGACCTGTTGTGCCTTTCCGTGTGTGTGTGGTTGCGTGAGGTATGTCCGGCTCCCTCCATTTTTATTTTCTCGTTTCAGTGCACGGGGCTGTGGTATTAACCGGCCCCTGAGACGCCTCGACGATGATCGGACTTTTGGTGTTCCTGAACATTCTAGCTTTAAACGCGTCCTGGACGACACGATCGTGATAGCGACTCTCATCAGGGAGACTTGTGTCGCGTAATGTGGGAAGAATTTTGTGATCTTTGATTCGTGGTTCGAGCAGTTTATTTTGGTTACTGTTACATCCGTTTGTCATCAGTTGTTTCTTTTTGCTGGTAGGAAAAATTGGAAAGTCTGTTTGGTGGAATAGGTCGATTGTAGAGGCTAATCAATGACTCGACTGCAGATCAGAGTTTGGCAGAATTTTATGCGAACAATACACAGTGAAAAGCAGCAGTATCTAAGGGTGTCGTTCTGAGCTTTAAAAGTCACCAAGTTATCGTCACGTTCCTAACGCTCCGGTACAGTCCTTTCCAAAAATACGTACTCAGATGTTTCCATTAGCTAATTCTCCAGTATAACAAAATGGAATTTCATATTTTTAGGTGAACAAATTATCAGAATATCTCTGCCAATTATCTAAACATTTAATCTTGTAAAACATTATTTCTATATCGAGAGCAAAAATTGAAAATTACATTTGTATACTGTTAATTAGCGAGCCTCTTTAGTAAAAAAGTTTATTGGTAAAGAAAACAGTTTTCAAAAATCAGTTGATTCAGTTTCGAAGATCAGTAGGTGAAATTTTTTGATTGTTGTGGAAATCGACTCGCCTGATGAGAGGATTACGGTAAACGCTTCACAAGTGATATTATAAGATTCGCCAATATTCTGAGCTCGTTTCGCACAGCCGCGGAACCGGAAACGAGCTTTGAGTGCGGGGACCAGCGTCGCCTTCGTTAACTAAACCCGACAGTCTTTCAAATTTCGCAGCCTCCGCCGAATGAAGACCGTTCATTCAGCGCGGGAAGCGCTGCAATTGCGATTCGATCGCGTTGTCTGCTCGAAAATAGCTAGGATTTATAGTTACTGGATGCGTCACGTTGATTTCCTCTTACTCTGAATTATAGACATAAATCCTGTTTCAAGTTCACAGAACGCGTATTAAATGAACATATTCCGGGCAGAAAATATTGAACTGACAAGTTGTTCAGAGAAATGAAAGCATAAGAATGCTTGGAAGTATTCGAAAGACGGACCGAAGATTTTCTACGCATTACGGTGATCATTAAAATAAACAAACAAGTACAATCAGTGTGTTGATTACTCGCCTGTACATATGTTTCAAGAGTATATTTTATTTGTGTTTTCTAGTAGACGGGCTATGATGAACCAGTATATCATGGTCGAACTACGAATGTTAATGCGAACTGACGGCTGCAAGGCTAATTTATAGCCTGAACATAACTTTAAAACAGAGATACGATTGAAGTAGAACAAAAATTATCCAGTGAACGGTTGCACTAGATCAAAAATATAACAGTTCATAAATATGTTTTGATGCGTTCTGTATGCTAAAAAATTCTTCGAATTTTCAAACAGTCCTCGAGAATTTACTGTATTCCGTTTGCTCAGTAACGTGAATATTTTGGTTGCCCACGCAAAGGTTAAACGGCCAATATTTTCTGTCCAGAACCAACATCAGTTCAATTACATTTTTTTTGTTCCTTCGATTTTTCAGACACTCATTTTACATTTTAATTAGTACACGGTAACGTTATATCGCCTCCATCAACTGTATCCTCGTTCGCAGGGACAGACGCGCGACGATCGTTCCATTAAACGGACGAGGAACTCGCACCGAAGCGATCGCTCTCGATCGTGCTCTCCTCGACGATCGTGAAACGAGAGGAGGAAGCGGCTGAAATCGTAACGAACTGGTTGTAATGTCAGGCACGCGGCCGAGTTTTGCTTTCGAGAGTTTATTCTGCGCTCGGGGAACGATCGCGAGACGTACGGACGCTGTGAACCTGTCGGTGGCACGTTTACAATTCATTAAAGTCACCGAGACACGACTTCGCTAAATATTAGTCTTTCGAATTCCATTCCCCCGAATACCGTTCGCGGTGCCAATCAAGCATTTCGATCGTGTGATTCATATGAAAATTGTGTCTAAATAATTAGTGTCAAGTGAAGAAACGAATCACCATTAGAGAATGAATTTCAGGTGTTTAAAAATTTAAAAAGTTCTATATAGGAACTTTTAGGAGAATAATTTTTCATGTTCCAGAATTTATAATTCTTCCAACCGTAAGTCAATCGATACTTACAGTATGTTTATTGATGCAATTAATATTAGACGGTTTTCGTAATTTTGTTCTAATTTTGTTCAAATCATAATGGAATTTCTTTTTCTTAATATTTATATTATCAGGTCCACAGTGTTAAAAATAATTAATCAGAAGTGTCTTGCTGAACCTTGAAAATGGTGGTACCATTGAATACAGGTACCATTATCTTATCAGTTACCATTAAACCAACAAGGTATTAAAACTGAATTCCTAAATCTTTGCTGCAAATTATATTACTCTCGACGCCAATCAACGGCCAGAATCGAGATAAATAACAAAAAAATCAGAATAAAAAGCGATTCGGCGGGAATGGCGTAGTGCCAAAAGAAATGGCGCGCAATGCAAACATCGTCGACAATTCTGAAGTCGTGGTCACATAAAAACGCAAGGTCCAAAATCGAAAAGGAGTCGATCATAGATCATCCCGTCTCGCGATCGAGCGCCCGTGTGCCGAGTAATCGGCTCGACGACCTTAATGTTCCTACTGAAAGTAGCCTAAGTGTACATAGCGCACATTCATGAGTATATAACTCTTAAAGTGATTCGAGGAATCGATGAAACGTAGCTGGTAAGATTGAAAGCTGGGCGGTCGAGGACGGTCCGACGAATCGATTGGTCGAGGAAATAATATTTATCGCGGTTTCGCGCGTGTCCACGTTTTTCCGTTCGTATCGTGTGAATTCGGAACCTCGGTTCATTATTTTTTTCGTTTCCTCTTTCTGTCCCCTACGACGGGGAGACCATCGTGACCAGGTTCGAGCATTTTTGTAAAAAAAAAAAAAAAAAAAAAAACGTTCGTCTTTCTACGGTAAACGTACGCTGAAGTGGGAATGGCCAGAGTTGATATATGCAAGCGGTGGAGAACTGGTCTACTCACATCATCGACTACGATCGAGTTTAAGGTTCTAAAGTAAGTCGTGTATGTATATGTTCAGTGCCTTCATTGTCAAGTGGTGGGTGTCAGTGTCCTTTTGAGCCCGCGGGCTACCTTTTCTCTGCTCGATCGTCGATCTTCGTTCTGTCGAAGGAACTAGGAACTACAGTGAAAGCGAATTGACACGTCCTCTGACGTGTGATGTCGACGATAAATATTTTATTACACTCGAGTTCACGAATTTTTGCCGATTAGGATGATTTTCACAGCAGCGATTGAAGGTAAATCGACTTTCACTCGATTCATCTCGCTTGTGTGCTTTTGTCACATCGAATTGCAGGGCATTCGATGGCTATCGTGAGATAATGGGGACGCTTCTCGACTCCATTTGTAAAATAATCGAGTGGTTGTCGTTTATACGAACTTTGTTATTGTGTATAGCTCTGTTGTGCACGGTTGATAGTTGTAGAAGTAGTTGATGGAACAGGGTAAAGATGTGAAGACGGTTGTAGGAAAACTTTTGGCTGTCGATTGTTGAAACTGTGCAGTCATTGTTTAATAAGTAGCTGTAATAAAAAATTGTAAATAAAGAGAGAAGAAGCATGAATGAAGAGGGATGAAGGGAGATAGAGAGCAATGGATCCATCAGCTGTGCTTGGCCGAGCTATATCGTAGAAATTCATTTTCCCTCTTAAGTATCTTATTGGGTTCAGAATAAAATAGAAAACTCGTTGGATCCGATGAAAATTTGGTTTTTTATTGTATTTCACAGAGTCCTATAAATGCATAAAATCTGCAGTCTACTCATGACCAATCAAAGCTGATGAACTCGAGTGTAATCATTGTGTTCTCTAATAAAATACGTAAAAGTTAAACTTTACACAAGATGTACACCTTTAGTTATGAATATTGGAACACTTATTGAAGGTGATGTAGACCTCAACTCACTTGATATGGTCCAATGCAGATTTTTACAGTGTAACCGGAAGTTGAAAATTCAAGCGATAGAGAACGTGTTAAATTCTCGACTCCAATTTTCACTGAAGTGAATTATTTTGCATTGAACGTGCAGTCAGCAATCTTAAGCGGAACAATAAATGGAATAACAGGGTATATAAATGAAAAATCGAGGGTGAATCATCGTGTGATATTGAGCAGAATGTGAACACCGCTTGAATTGTAGATCCTGAATGTGCTGTGGATATATT